CACGTTGGTATGCTTACCATCTGCTGCTGCAGTGGGCGGCAGTGGCCACGAGCCTGACCTGGCCTTCTTCATGCACGACGTCTTGGGAGGGTCACACCCTTCGGCTCGTGTGGTCACGGGCATTGTGGCTCAGACCGAGGTGAACGGCATACCGTTCTCAAAGGCCAACAACAACATCTTCCCGGTGGACAACGCCATCCCACTTGTGAACCTAAACAACATCAACAAGATCATCAACCCCAACACTGCGCCTCTCCTCACCGGCCTCACTGGTGCACAGGCAAGCACCATCATTCAGTCCACCAATGGGAACTCTAACAACGCCCTCAACTCAAACAACCTCCCCTTCGTCACCGCTGGCCAGCTTCCTCCAGCCGCCGCTCTCCAGCAGCTCATGTTCGGTACGATCACAGTCGTGGACGATGAGCTCACAGAGAGTCACGAGCTCGGGTCTGCAGTCATCGGTAGGGCTCAAGGGTTTTACCTGGCGAGCTCGTTAGACGGAACGAGTCAGACCCTTGCTTTGACCGTGTTGTTGCACGGAGGAGAGCACGGGAATCACGACACGGTGGACGACGCCATTAGCTTCTTCGGGGTTCACAGGTCAGCTTCCACTGCTTCCCAGATCGCCGTGGTGGGTGGAACTGGGAGGTACGAGCACGCCAAAGGGTACGCCGTCGTCGAGACTCTGCATAACCAGGACAACCAGCACATCACCGATGGCATCGACACGATCCTGCATTTCAGCGTTTACCTCACCTACAAAGCTTAAGGGTATTTGATTGTATGAAAGGTCTCTTCATGTCCCGTGTTCTTTTTCTTGCTTGCTAGCTTCCTCTGTGTGCTCTCTGTTATGTGAAAGTATCACGTACAAAAAAAAAACATATGTATCTCCTTATGATTCAAATCTTGTTTCTATTGCTATCTCACATAACGATGAATGTCTGAATTTTTTATGAATGATCCAAATTCCCGAACCACTGGCTCAATATCAGCTCCGAGTTCTAACCTGGATTTTTTTTTTCCGTGAATGATGAAATTCATGTATTTTTCTTTATATATAAGTTCGGATTTTAGATACATGTAAGTAACCCTTCATCTCTCAACAGGAAATTCCCTAAAATTGGAAAAAAAAAAATCAAAACGAATGGAATAAAAAAAAATCTAAAATTCTCAATCAATGAAGCAGGAAAGAGTTCAATAAGAGGCGGAAGAGTTGCAGATAATTTCTAGGCCTTTCAAATGCGTAAATCACTCAAATATACCAATTGAGTCGCAGCAATTTCTCCGATACACCACCAATAAAAGTAAAAAAAAAAACAGTTTTATACCAATTTTTCGTTCAAAAGGTTCGAAATAACCTTTCTTTCATATTTTTTACGATTTTATTACGACTGTTATATAACTAGTATACGACTAAAAAAAAGAAGTATTTATGATCGTATAGCAATTAAAGATCTAAAAAAACATAGTTATTTTTTAAATTTGAAAGATGTATTTTTTGACACCTCATTTAGAATCAATTGCAACTGTATTTAGAATTAATTACGATATTGCAATTATAATTATACGGTTTCATTGAGGATAATATAGTTTTTTCGGATGTATTATATTTTTTATGGTGTATCCGAAAAAAATGGTACGACATTTTTGGTATATTTGAGTGATTCACCCTTTCAAATCTCAGAAGAAGGGGGGCAAATGAGAAGAAGATCACATGATAATTAGGAGGAGCACGTGCACATGAATAGATCCATTACATATTTGGGCTTGGGTTCTTCACTTAGGCCCAATATAAAGTAACACGGCCCAAATACTCATACGCAACCGTATTATGCTTGGACTATGTGACAATGGAGACTAAATAAATAAAAGATGGGAAAATTGAGGGGGAAAAAAAGAATGTTACTGTTTAATCTTTAGTTTCTTATTATGTGTTGCCACTATAGATATTCCGTTAAAAGTTTTGCAATTATATATGTATATATAGATATGATTTTGTATTAAATGCATATTTTCTAATATAGTTTTCACTTTTAGGTCATCCGCACACACCTACCTAAGAGTTTTTTTTTATATTTACTTTGATAAATAATATATATTTGTCCAATTCCAATACATTCTTTGTTATAATTTGTAAGTTTAATGATTTTGAAACGTGTGAAAACTCCAATTTTATTACTAATCAAGAATTTCTGTACGAAATATTAAAACGTTTAACCTAAAATGCTATTTCATTAGTACTATATATAATATCTTTCTAAATTATAACTAAAAAATTCAAAAAAAAAGAGTCATTTTAGCTAATATTTTTTAGTTTTATTATTCCTGGTCATTTAGTTTTTCTATTGTTTTATCATTAAAACATGGCATAATAATTGGAGCCAGATTTGGAAAGCCGTTTTCAAGAGTCTGGTTTTCTATAAGTGCATGCCCACATAGTCCAAAATTAAAATATATATATGTACATATATATATATATGTGTGTGAAATTTCATTGAGACGGTAAATTTTCTATAAATGCACAAATAAATAATTGAAATCGAAGGGAATGAAACGAAACTATATGATGAATGATTTTGGAAGAGACCCTCTTCAAGTGGGCATGAGTTGATGTGGTGGCGCTTCGAAGCAAAAACATGTTCGAAGATGACAAAGAAACTCACATCCGACAGTGTCTTTCTCCGGAAAAAGCTGTTCAGTCATCATGTTACATTGTCTCTGTACCACCCCTCCTCCTCCTCCGGTCCTGTTGTTATCGCATGTTCCTCGCCACTTTCACGATTATGTAAATATTTATTATCAGAAACAACGTTTACATGATAATAAAAAAAATCTTTAATTTGGTTTTAAAACACGTAACTTTATATCATTCTACGAATTATTTTAACAGTTAAGATTAATATTACTTTAATGGTATTGGGATCACCTGTATTACTACTATAGTCTATAGCAATGCATATATATATATATATAATTCAAGGTTTAATTTTTATATTGATTAGTATTTAGTATTTAGTATTAGGAGAAGATCAGCATTTTTATTTTGGTGTTTAATTTTTTTTCAATATGGGCCTCTTTTGCTAGTGAAAACAAATTTATTCTCGATTAGTAAGTGTTTTTATTTGTTGTATATTCTATATATTCCCTTCCAAATTTCAACGTAACAATTATGCCTGGTAACTTTCAACGTCACCACTTGTGCGTGCGTGCGTACATACATACATACACACACATACATACATACATACACACATACATACATACATACATACATACATACATACATACATACACATACATACATACATACATACACACATACATACATACATACATACATACATACATACATACATACATACATACATACATACATACATACATACATACATACATACATACATACATACATACATACATACATACATACATACATACATACATACATACATACACACATACATACATACATACACACACATGCATGCATGCATCATCGCTCGATCGTCGTTGTGCAGTTCCGTAGAATATAAGGACGGTGCAAGAGGGACCACAAAACGTACCAAGACAAGACCAATATGACTCCTTTTGCTGTCTTTATTTTTTGGACCGACGCGAGGGAGAAATTAAACATGCAAACATATAATACATAGTACTAATAGAAATATATATATATATTTGGGGTACATGGAGAGATCATTTTCAATACGGAAGTAAATTAATATTGAATCAGTCGTCGGATTCTTTGGAGGAATCGGAGATAATCTTCTGGATCATCTTGTTTGTCTCTTCCTCCGACATTCTCTCTTGTCTGCTTTGCCTCTGCTCATACGCCTCGAAGAACTCCTTGTTCTCTTTCTCCAGCTCCTTCCACACTGTTTTTAGTTTGACGGGAAATAAGGGAGATTTTAGCATGTAGTCCTAAGTTTATGTAGTGAAATTAGCACTCCATTATATGCAATATACGTTTCATGGCGTGTGTATGTACGTACGTATACGTAGATGATTCATATCATGTTTCTTACAAGTTAATTGATTTCTCGGAGTTCAGGAGGCAAAAGGACGATTTTATGTCTTCATTTTTGTAATCATTAGAATACTCATAAAACTCGTATGCATGCAGTGTAAGAACACATACTTCATGTAAATATACATATATAGATCGATATATATATATCCACCCCAAAGTTACCTCCACAGAAGCACACACACATATACTCATTTCATATGTATAGTTTTTGGTCGAGAGACTGCGTTTTTATGCGTTTAGGGTAACTAGGACGCCTTCACACACACAGAAATTAATATATATGGGCATGGATATATATATATATATATATATACACGTGTGTGTACGTGTGTGTGTGTGTGTGCGATAACACATGAAATAAGAATGATTATCATTAGAAGAGGAAACAAACCGGTGGAGGTGATAACAGGAGTGATGTTCGCATGTTTAGAGAGAGCTTCCATGCACTCTTCTTTGCTCATGTGGAAGATCAAACATTTCTCTATCAAGTGCTGCACCTATACACACATACACACACACACAAATGCTATTTAAGCTCATCATTTCATAAAAGATTATAAAAGAAGGAACCCCCACATAGTACTGATGAATCAGTTGTTCATCTCACAACTCAAAAGAAGAAACCAAACAAGTTCTTTGATCTTATACATAGGATCAGTAAAGTCTGTGCTCATCAAGCTAAAGGGTTACCATGTGAATGTAAGAAGCGGAAGAAGAATCACCCATATCGAACAATCCCCGGTATAAAACCACAGAAAATGCAAGTTATAATGAAGATATATATATGCATATATAGGAGAGCGATCAATGCAATTATATATAGAAGATTAAGAGGAGGGAGTGACGCATGCAAGTTGAGAAAGCAAGGGGAAACACCAAAGATCAGTTGAAAGAAAGAAAGAATAATGGGTCCAGAAGTCCCACGTGGGAGACTGATTATAATTGGCTGAGAGAGGATTAGGAGAGATTTGTAAATGACTCTTTCTCTTGTCCTTTGTTTCTTCCTTTCCTCTTTTCATTCGAAAATTTAGAGAGAGAAAAAAAAACAAAACCAAGAACAACACAAAAAAAAAACTTCCTCCCACCCCTCCTCCACGTGGTTCGTGGGTCCTCCTCCTTTTATTTGCAGTCAATTTGTCGTAATTTTCTATATTAAAACATTCATCCACTTATCTCTCGTTTGATGTTTTTCACTCCTCATCGTGACTCGTGTTCTTTTTTGGCTTCTAATTAAGTTTTAATTGTTTATGTGATCGTATATGATTTATTTCATTTCACTTATATTATTTTAGGACTCTATATATATATATATATCCTCAAAAACTTCAAATATCTAATAGAGATTCAAACGGCATATATAACAATTGCTGTTTCTTATTTGGTCGGCTATTGTATGATTATGAGATTTGGTGGGGACATTGGTCACGTTGGTATGCTTACCATCACCCTCAAGTCATGCTACATACAAGTAATGTTAAGAAGGTTAAGCAATCAAATAAATAAAATATATACATATATATAGAGAGAGAGTGAGTGAGAGAGAGAGAACTATCTCCATCTATTTACAACTTAAGAAGACTGCCTGAAGATCACTCTTTATTCATTTAGTTTTTGTGAAAGTTTAAAGTTCGATTATATTCATCTAAATTCATCTTTTAAAAACTTGATATTATATATATATATATATATATATAATATGCATATATATACATGTTTGGCATTTTTGGTTAATAACTTTGAGGATTTATCTATATATACATATACACCCTCATTAAGTACATGCCTTGTCGATTCGTTTATGTATTTTGAACAAGTTATTTTACTTTATGAAACAATAAATCACCCGATTTCCATGAAGAAAACAAAAAACAAGAGGACTACAATGTGTAAAAACAAGACACGACAATAATTCAACACAATATGTCATATA